AAGTATGTAGTTTTTGTGAAATGTATTAAATATTTTCTTTATTTATAAATGTTAGTGTAATTTTGGCCTGTACCTTTAATATCGGACTCCCCGTGTAGATTAATTAACAAGAATTAAAAATTGGATTGATTTTAATTTTGTATAAAATCAATACCTTTATCCAACAAATTATTGTAGAAAACATATTTTTGACTAGCTAAACAAGTCAACTTTATATATATATATATATATATGTGTGTGTATGTAATCTGATCTGAATATATCATAAATATAAATGATAAATGTTCAATAAATGTTATAAGAATATATTGCAAGGGTGGCAGATCCTTGTCACAACAGGAACCATATATGCTTACCAAATATGAGAACACCACATTCTATATTAGGATGTTACCTTATATATAATTTATATACTGTATAAAAAAGAAAGCCTACCCCTAAGTTATTACTTAGGGGTAGAGATCCAATACAGGAAAGTCACAACAAGGTGGCCAAACTGCACCTCTAGAAGAACCGAAGAACCGCAGTTTGACCACCATAGATTTTGTTTACTCCATTCCAAATAATAATATGTAATGGGCAAAACAAAATTGAATTTACATAACATTCAAAATTTTATTGGACAATCTATTCAGCTGAGTGGCAAAGATGATAAAAGGCACCAACCTGCCATCCTGAGGTTTTCTAGGCCAGCTCAAATCACAATAAGTTGAAAAAAGGAATGGGAGTTAAAATTAAGTGTCAACAATTGGGATATTCAATTTTGTAAGTTCTATTCTGTATCATTAAATAAGTGAATGTATTGATGTACATGCTGTATGTATACTGAAGATGAGTTTCTAAACAAGTGGAAACATTCCTTTCATAAAATACTTTGCTGGATAAAAGTATTAATACTAAATAAAGATCACAGACAGATATTGATAAAAGTACACCAAACTTAATGAATACAACACTTAAAACTGATGCATGGTTGCAGGAACAGGTTGTAAAGATTTAAATACAGTTTAAGTTATAAATTAGAAGTTACTTGCATACTGGAATTTTCTTCTTGAACACTGAGCCAATAAATATCAGAAACATGGAGAGGGTTTTTTCCTATTAAATCTGATAGATTGGAAAGCCAACCTACCTACAGTAAATCCAGTTCCAACTGTAAGATTAGACTTTCATAAGAATATACCAAGTTTAAATCATTTTACTTCAAATTTATTACACAGAAAAATTAATTTGTTAATTTTCAAAAATAAGGAGTTCAGAAACTGCTTGATAACTTTAAAGTATTTTTTTTATCATTTCATTTCTATCTGTTTCTTTATTATAAAAGCAAATTTACCTAAAAAATATAAAATACAGAGCTAACTTTTTACTGGAAAAATTAATTCAAAAAGAACAGCTCACACCTTAATAATCTAAACATTGCATTAAATATGGACTTAATGCTTTACTACAGGAAGAGATAAATAAGATCAGTATATAGAAGCATATAATTACATCTAACTTTCATGAGGTATAATCTGTATATAATAATTAAATTGATCACTATCAATTTAATTATTTACAGATTGTCCATACAAAAGTTAGAAATGGAATGATATGGAATCCTCTTCTCTATGGTAGCATTTCTTTCTTTCAGAAAACTTCAAATAGTCATCCTTAAACTAGTAAATAAGTTATGGCAACAGTTATTTGGGATAAAAAAATGTTCTTTTGATCATTATTCTGTCCTGAAAAGAAAATCAATGTCAACAGTTATTGCAAAATATCAAAAGAACCACAGCATGCTATTCATAACCATTCACATGGCTCACAGAAGAAGAGTGCCTGTTTCACAATAATACACTTCCACACATTGCTGGAAAATCATTACAGAAAAGTTTAGATGGAAAATAATCAACAGTCTTTCCTACAGTCTGGAGATCTTGCACCCAACTTTCATCTTTTCCCTTTGGAAGGAAAATGATTGCAAATGAACAATGACATCCAGGAAACTCATCAATTGGTTAATTAAAAATATTCAATGTTTGTATATTGAAGTGTTGCTGCTGGAAAAAAGTGTAGATAGTGTAGGTGTAATCACTTATGTGTTATTATTATTATTATTATTATAGGATATTTACATAGTATAAATCTGACATTATTTAAATGTGTTTACAGGTTGTTGTATATTTAAGGTAATGCAGCTTAAAAATTTATTAGTGGCTTGTATTTATATTATAATTGTATCTAATTTCTTTCATATTAAATATTAAAGAAATTTTGTTCTCTTTTTTTTAAAAGGATTTTTGTAAAGTTATATTATTTATAAGATAATTTGGTTTTATTATTATTAACATAACAAAATTTAACAGTTCATTAATTTAATAATGGTAAAATATACTTTTATATTTAAATGCACACTTTTTTTTAAATCTGTGTTCAGTTTAAAAATAAAAATATGAACATTTTTTATCAATTAATATACAGTATTTGCAATGAGCATTACAATTTAATCAACTTTATGTTTATGTTTTGTTTTACTGGTTTATTCAGATGCCCCATTTAAATATATTGTATCCCTTTACAAAACACAAATCACATTTATCTACCATAAAAAATTTTTTGATTTTGTCACTTTTCCCATATCACACCTCAGGAAAAAACAATAAAATTTTTTTGTTTTGAATAATCTATATTTGAAACAAGTGGATAAGAAGTTGGAGTGGGTGGTTTGGACTACACATGGCAGCAGGAGGAAAAAATAAACAAACATACAGGACGTAGGGATTGATGAAGCATCAGAAAATGTTTAAAAAACTGGGCGAAGCTCCCTTACTATTAAAGCTATTAAACTATGTTCTGGTTTAAATAACTTAATAAATCATATCACAAAATTCTTAAATTTTAATGTGGCTATATTTAAGTATAGTCTTTCAATATCTTAAATTGAATATTAATTGATTGATTGAATATTAATAAATTGATATTAATTTCAAATGTATCATAATCAGTTTATTAAAGTCTTATGAATCAATGACAAGTATGAATAGTGAGCTTGTATGCCACTCTACTATTCATTATTTTCTTTTACATAAAGATAATTGATAGTAAGCATCTATTAGAGATTACAAAATAAAGAATATTGAAATGAAGTTTATTCTGAAGTTCAAATAATTAAAACTTTGTATGCTTAATCTCGTTAAAAAGTACATTAAATACATCAAATCTTTCTAAAAGAAAACATTAACAAGAAATAAAAATAAAGGAAAAGCAAGATAATTAAATTTGTAACGACAAAGTCAAAATTCTTTAAATATAACAAAAAACAAAATCTCTTTATTGGAGCTCACTCAACAGTTTCTGAAGTACTTTCGAGCAACCTATCTCTTGACAATGAGCTTGGTTACCCGGAACTCCTTGAGAAGCTGTTATTCAATCGAGCTACAATAAACAATGTTTTGCTAAAAATTAAATTTGACAGAAAAAAAGTTACATTTGTACACTATTTGCACAGATTTATTTTCAACAAATTATATATATGACAAAATGCTAAATAATGACGCTTACAACACGAATGTTTGTTTATAACTAACAGAAATCTGTCAGTACTGTGTACTGACATACAAATAAACACACTTAAAATCCTTCCTTTAGTTTGTTAAAAAGAAAAAAAAAAACAAGGAAAAAAAATTAAGCTCTATAACTAACCATTTCAATCATTAAAGATAATGATGCAATTTAAGTCAAGTCGTTTTTTAGAAAAAGATCATAAATATAAGTTAGAAGACAAGTGCAGAAATTTTAAGGATGAGTGATCAGTCCAGAATGTGATTCTACAATAACCGCGATTTGAATATAATCTACACATTGGAAACAAGATAAGATCTGAAGTTATAATACAACCTTAATATTAATACCAAATAAAATTATACAATTGAATACTTTTAACTCTTAAATGTTTTGTTGGTAAAATCATGTTTAATAGTTTTTTTTTTGTTTTTTTTGTAAAATTAACAAATACCAATCATATTCAACTGATTCCTAAACATAAAATCAAAACAGTTTAAAAAATAAATTCTTGTTACTAATTTCACAACGAAATTCATTAATATCGAACACTCAAATATTAAGCACAAACATCCAATGAAAGACAAAGTATTCAGAATAATAAATCTCAATTTACTCGCCGAATCTCATAATCGTAATTAAAACAAATCAATTAAAAATACAAACTTAACACCACAATCGAAACTACAAAACAAAGCCAATTAATTCACGTAGCCAAACCACAGCTCATGAACATGTGGCTCTTCTAGATCTTTAATTTTTGATACACTCCAATTCTTCAGTACTGTGTACAGAGTTAATAAAAGGAAATTATATAGCTGTGGTATGATATGGTAGAAAGTTATGTAGTATGGTATGGGAAGTTATATATCCTCTAATCTGGATGGTCGTTTGTGATCTTGATGCAAAGAAGAAAGATGCGGACAACGTACGAAAAGAAAGAAATGAACTAAGTTCATTCTTACTTTCCATACATCATCCATACCTTTCTTCTTTGCGTCAAGATCACCACGAACCGTCCAGATTACAGATGCTATATAACTTCCTACCTCGTCATATCGTGGCTACATAATTTCCTTTAATAAACTCGGTACACAGTAGTTACACACGTGGCGAGTTAACCGATCGGGCTCGACCACCTGATTTATATAGGATTAATTTACCGTATTTATTTCCGGCAAATAATTAAAGAATCATTACGATGCTTAATAAGTAGGGCATATCAAAAGACATTTTAAAATGTGCAAAAAATGTAATAATAATGTTAATAAGAGGCTATTCTTTTTTAAATTAAGCATATGGAAACACACCAACAAATACCTGTAAATTATATAAAGAATGTAATTATAATTGAATAAATATGGTGATGAAGTATTAATATATCAAATTATAACGGAATTAAAGGTAAATATTTCTAAAAATTAAATAAAAGTCAAGTGAAAACATGAACTTACCGATGGATAAGTGTGTAAAGGGTATGTTTTATCACAACTAGCTTCACACGACTCAGAATCTTCGTTCAATTTACCAAACAAATTACAATAACTTAGAGAATGGCCAAATGTAAAGAAAATGAATACTTTAAATAAAACCTTCGCCTCCATATCCGTAGTAACTCGCTAAATAACTAACAACAAATTGCATCGATTCGAATCATTCCAAGTTCCAAGCTAATTAACCTACTGCGACATCTGACATTATCCTCACTATAAACAAAACTATTATTTAAATTTTATATTACCATTTTCTAATATTTAATTATTTTATTATTTATTTTCTCTCTGATATTAATATTAATAAGTTAAATAACCTCGGTTATATTGTATTTGAATTTTTTTTTTTTTTTTTTTGTTATTATTACGCTTTTTAATTGTTCGTAATTTAAAGAGATGGCGAAGTAGAAGTTGAGTAGCACTCCTATCGGAATGAGATGGAACTAATTATTAATTGACAAAATTTATTCTCGTTAATTAATATTTTATTGTACGGTGTGATTGTTGTGTAAATGACCAATAAAAATTCACGTACGATATTTATTTAAATTTGATTATGTTATCTCGTTAAAATCGATTTCTTTAGTATTTAACACAAAGAACGTCATCAAATACAGTATTCAAATTAAGACTTGTCTGGGCGGTGGCGTTAAAAACGTAGCGTGAGGATTCGAGCAGGCCGCATTAACGCATGAGCATACTTGGCCGTGGCCGTGACATTAACGCTCGGCCTTCTTTTAGGCTTCATCTCATTACACATTACTATTATTCTATATCTGTACAATGCCTCTAAAGAATGTCATTTCCCAGAAAAGCACAAAAGAAAATAATATTTCAGTATAATCCTTTAAAAATTAATAAATGACAATTGAGCTGTATCATAAAATAAACTATGATGTACGGGGAATCCAGAATCGGTTCCTGTCTGAATCTTCACGTATCTTCGTGCGTGACTAGAGCTTCATTTTCACCATACGATTAGTCGATCCTGTTTGAAAATGGAAGAGAATTAATTAACGGTATAATACAGTCTCGAAAAACTGAAAATATTGTTAATAAATTTAGATTAATCCCTGGTAAATCAATTATCGTTACGTACAATTATACACGCAGACAGTCGGATAAACGAGGCGATTAAAGCTTAGTTCACACTGAGCGCGATTTGCTAGCGAAAGCGAAAAACAGAGCGAATAACCGGTTATTCGCTCTGTTTTTCGCTTTCGCCAGTGAATCGCGCTCAGTATGAACTAAGCTTAAGACATCAGCACGGGCATCCGCTGAAACATTACCAAGGGGGGCCAAAGGGATATATATTCCCCTATCATAATTATTGCTTAAATAAGAGTAATCCAGCTTATCTGAGGTAATTTACTATATTATTGCTCTAGGGATCCGTCATTCAGTCTAATCAAGCAACATTCCGGAAATTGTCCACACATTTTCCGTCCTTCATCACTCGGCCTCATCCATTGGGGATCTGGCCAAATCCATAATGGATATTTTTTAAAAAAAGACTTTTTAAGAACAAACGGGTGTAAAGAATAAAAATTAAAAAAGTACGCATGCTAATACTGTGTGTGTATTTATTTTAATAAAATTCCCATGTCTCATTAAGCATTTGTTTATTTATATGTTATACGAAATCTAAATAAATTATAAAATATTATCTATATATTTATACCTTTTGAATAGGATAATAGGATTATGTTAATTTTATTAGTTTTAGTGATGAATGAAGCACTTTAGTTAAACTTTAAAATCTGCCATTCAAAATTAAACATCGTCTATTTCAGACAGCGGAATATCAATCTATTCTCAAGATATAGGCTCGAATTCAGTCTAAAAATTCGTTATTTATTATGGGCAACACGGATCGAGACATTTTCCATCCCTCAATCCATCTGTTGGATGCAATTGGTGAATCGCCTTGGAGTTAACGCTGCAAAGGATCCCATTTAGATGCCAATCCAAAGCCTTACAAACTACAGTTTACATCGCAATATAAATTTTTATATTTTCAGCGGTAATTTTATACGCTAATTCTAGAAAATATAATTATATTTGATTTTTATCTTCGTGTTAAATTCTGTAATTCCCCAGATTATCGTTTGAAAAAATTCAAAAAGATTCCTTTGTTTTCATCTATAAACTGTGGCCGAAGTGGTTGAGTCATCCTATCGCTCTGGAGGAATTCCCGATTGAATTCGGGCAAACTACCCCAGAAATGGTGGTCTGTTTTGGATATGTCGGCCCTCATCATCCGGCAACCTGCATTGTAGGCCTGGCCGAACCCACTATAAGTAACGGGGGGGAAACCTTAGTACCCACATTGTGGGAAGGTTTTCTTTAGAAACCTATAGACTGTGGACGATATTGTTATTTAAAATTTTTTAAATCACGTTTTCAAAGATAAACGTAAGACTGAATGAACGCAGTGCATTCAATCTTCAATTCAATGGAATGATACAAAGCGCGCATTACGCTGTTAGGTTATATTTTATTTATTGATATTTATAACAATTAAAACAAACAAAAATCTTGCATTTTATACCTAAATCGCGCATTATTTTAATGCAATTTTAATGAGTTTTTTTTTAAATCTCAGCCCCGTGAATATAAACAGGACTCTTTTATCAAGTCTCATTATGATCTAGGCCAGGACCACAATAGAGGGACCGGATGGTGAGGGACAAAACCCGACATATCTGGACCCCAAAAAAATTCTAGGGAATTTTCAATCCGTCCAAATTCGATTTGGGGTCCTGAAGAGCGGTATGTTGGCACCGTAACTGCTCAGCTACCCGGCCATCTAAATTGTTTTAAGAGTTTTGAGCTCATATACAATTTTTTCAGTCTAATAACCAATTTAAAAATAACTATTTTCGACACAATGAGAGTACAATAAAAGAAAATTTTATATTTGTAATCGTACGATTTATTGAATGAATAATTATATGTATTTAATCGAAAAATAGAACTTTGATTCCAAACAAAATTGATTATGAACCATCAGTTATTTGCCCTACGATATAAATATTTAAATTAATTATCAATAAACACAACATAAACAGGCGAATATGATCTATTTCCTAATTCGTTCATATCCGATGCTTCATTACGAATTTACAATTTAAAATACTATATAATTTCCAACATTTGTTATTATTTATAAAATATCTTTTGATACGAAAAACAAAGATGTTTTCAATATTTGCATGATGGGGAGGAGAAGAATTTTAAATTTCTTTTATAAAATCCACTTGATGGAAGATTAAGTAGTACAGTTCTCTTTATTTATGAGAAACTTCAACAAATGCAACTGCTCAGAACTCTATCAATCTCAGAGAAGGCCTGCCTTGTTTAAGCCTTGTGTAGTATTCTTACAATTTTTCAGTTCAGCATTTGATTTACAAATTCGTTTCTTTCAAGTGTTCTTGTACAAAATATATTTTAAAAAGTATTTGTTTGCATTATACATTCATTGACAACAAAGTTACGCATACAAATTGAATTGCCCGATACTGAAAAATTCGGCATACGTATGCCACATCTGTAAACGATTACAGTTGTGACACGAGTGCACAAAGTAGAGTGCCTTAATTCTTATCCCACTATCCTATAAAAAAGGCTCGCAGAGGCTTAGTGTTCAGAATTTTTAGTGTACCTGTTATTTGCAGATCTTTGAACGCCAGACATGTCTGTACGAAACAAAGATGCATAGCTGACAAAGTAAAAGGCTGAATCACGAGACTGATTAAAGCAGGAAAACCGAATTGCCCGCATCTGGATCGACTGGGGCAGGCGATAGGGAAAGCAAGGTGAATATACCAAACATAGACACGTTAAGAACGGTAATTGTTCTATTAACTCAAATATTTAAAATTTCATCAGATTATTAAAACTGAAAAATCTTTTAATGATGTGGCCATAAGCGCTTGATTTTTAAAGCGTACATAAATCATAAACCTAACGAAATTTTCAGAAAGTGTCATACGATATAAAACTATTATTAGGTAAGGAAAAACATCCAAAAACTATTTTTGATAATCTACAACAATCAAAGAAAGAAACATACTGTAATTTTATAACATGTCTATCAAAAAAAGAAACTTTCTTCTCTCTGGACTATTATGTAAGTTGAATATATCTAGAGAATGAGGCTGTTAAAATGGAGAAACAGTCTTATGATCATATTAGAAACATGTCCATTATTTAGCGTACTTACTTTATATTAAAAATGTTCATATTATTATAGAACTAAATAAATTTACCCTCCACCTTTTTAATGCGCCTCAAAGATAAAGTTTTCCTAAGGTTTCGCAAATCCAAAAGTCGCCTCTGCGTACGGTTTGCCAGAAGAGATGATGATCTAATCCTTACACACGCAACACAAAATCAAACAGCTAGCGGCAGAATCATTGTCTCTTATCCAGAAAAAGGTGGAACCCTCTTTATAAAACCCTCTCTACCCGTACCACTAGCAGGCGATTAACTATCAGAAGCAAATTAGCATGAACGACGACCGCTATGCGTTCTGAAATTGTCCGCTTCGATTGCAATGGTACCGTGTCAAAGAAGCAAAGTCTATTAATGTTCTTGCAGCATATCATCTCTGGCGACAAATCGTCTGTTTGGGAACGGGATCGCCCTGTCTGAGTGTGGAGGCCATTGGTAAGTAGCCTAGTTCAGCGATACTCACTGTCCTCACTTCTGGTGTGCTGGTCTAGACAGCTTCCAACTAGCACGTCACCACTAAGTCAATCGTTCAACTCTAGCAATGGTGCGAGGTACATCGTTCAGGAAATCCTGAATCCTCACGTGTTATTTTTCATGACAGAATTTCAGCCATTTTCCAACGTGATAATACTTGGCTGCAGAAAACTAGTGTTTACCAGGAATGTGTCCATGTTGTCATAAATCATTGATCCTCCCAGTCCCCAGATTTATTGCCTATTGAGCATTTGTGGGAGCAGATAGAACACCAGTTTCAGCCATCCTCTAGTGTAGGGGATCTGGAATGATTGTCGCAACATTTTTAAATACTGTGAACAGGGATGGCAATACTGAAACATATTTTTGAATAATTAAACGTTTAAAATTGAGTTTTTATTGTTGCCACAGTAGCAAAAAATTAATTAATGTCGATGACGTAAAATGATCATTAAGTTTATATATTTTATAATTAAAATATTTTTAAATTGATTCTCATAGAATGATTTTTTTTTTTTTTTTGTTATAGTTTGTTGTAAATAATAAATAAAATCAAATTTAATTTACATTAAAAAAAAATTAAAATATGAAAGTAACACATGAATATTATTTTATATATCAACTATGTTATAAAATAATCTATAGGCCTATAATAGCCAATATAAAAATTATTCAAATTACTTTCTATTGAAAATGTGTGTTTAAGGTACATTAATCCATAAAAATAACCTCAAATAACGTTTGGATCACTGAACTCTTCTTATTGAGAATCAATGAAAAATAGTTTTTAAAAGTAAAATAATATAATATTTAGAAATTTAATACTTTTAACAGGTAATTATTTCGTAATCTTACAGAATCTATGTAAAACCAAGGTCATATAATCTACAAGTACAAGGTAAATTGTAAATGAATAAGATCAATCAGTCAATGCCATAGTACAAATGTCTTCATTGTTTCTGAATATTTGGACTTTAAATTGCAAATGCTCTTAGTTTTCTTGAAAAAAAAACGAAACTTCAGAAAATCGAAAGTCGAGAACGTAATTTATCACAATTAAAGTCAATGACTTTCTTTGTCAAAGAGTTCGTACCATTGTAGATGATATCAAATAATCGCGTTTTTTCTTCATATACATTTAATTTAATCGCGAAAGAATTCAGTAAAAAATCACTTTATGTATTACATAATCGTCATTAACAAAGAACATTTCATTTAATTGACATTAGAAGGAATGCAAAGCGGAATTTACAGAATTAAAAATATATCCACGAAGTACAGAAAAGCGGACAAACAATGAAATAAAAAAAAGGTACACAAATAGAACTAAATGATCATTTGAAATACCATTAAAGTAGCTATTTAATCCTTATAAAACTACACGAACCGAAATAAAAGATTGAATTTCTCTACCGTAAAAGAAGAGCGTAACCTTTATATAACGCGCGCTTTCGCCCTTATAAAACTTTTTCTACCTTGTTTATTTTGATAAAGTTTATTATTTATGAGGCTTCGCAGTCAGTATTATGAGGAAGCAGTGTATGATTTCCCCCTCTATATATCGTGTTTAGTCTAGACAAAACCCATTTTAGTATATTGTTTCTGTTTGTAAATCGTAACTTAGCTTACGAAACTTATGCACTTCACAGCAATGTAGAAATATCTGTGTTTAAATAACAATTTATGTTTTTTTTTAATATATATAATAAAATTTGTTAATGAAGCTAAACTGTATTTTTTAAGTTATATTTTTCAAATAAATTATTGTATTTTTTACGGCTGATTTTATCGTTGTTCTGTTATTTGGATCCCAGATAAAATGCCATTACGTTCACATGGTTTTAAAGGTATCTTTTGCATAGGAACGTCCTTGAATTGGAGTCAAGACGTTATCTGTTATCGAACTCTGCAAAAATCTAAACGTTTCAGCAATTAATGATGTCAATGAATGCTTAGTTTAAATTATCGTTGCATAAAAACTAAAATTAAAAACTCTGATATCNATTAATTAATTAAATTTTAATATTCTGATTAAAAATTTATGTATTCACTCTTTTTATTTATGTTCTACAGAAATTAATTTATTTAAGAATTGGGCATTTAAACTGAAATTTATAATGGCATTTTACATTACATCTTATGAATGGGTTTCATTCTATGAATAAGTAACCTTTATAAATATGGCGTAAAGGCAAATATCTTGTCTGGCCAATAAGCCAAAATCTCTAGAGTATCCTATTGAGCTAAGTTCTATAGAAAATACTTATAAATTCGAATTACATAGTTGAAATTCCCAATTACTATGCGCTATTTTCTCTAATACGCCATTTTTACAGAGAAAAACTATATAATTTTTCAACTTATAACATATTCTGATGATTTCTACATATTTTGAAGGAAAGGATGCCAAGGCCCTACACTTTCTTAAACTAAATACGGCATATTCTGTATTTAAATTCAGCATAAAACTATTGAATAAATGGAAAACTTTATTAGGAATTTTATCCTTTTGTTAAAGTACGACTAAATTTAGCAAGAGTCTATAAAAGAAAAGGAAAAAAAAAATTTCTATAAATTAAATTACATTTTTAAAAATTATATATAATTATCATACCTATAAATTCTCCAAATTTTCGAATAATTTTGAGATTTAATGGACAAAACTTGTGATGAAATTTTTATAGGTAGGTTGGAACGTACGAGTCCTAATAATCAAAGAAACACAATCTTGCTGTAAATTATCTATATGAACGATTATGTTTTATTATTTTTTTTTAATGCATTGTTTATGTCTAACGGAGAGAGAAAGAGACCTTACTTTCACTCGAAATGTCTTTCAAAAGTCGCTTGAGGACAAATTATATTCAAAGTTCAATAGATAAGGATTCATCTTTCACCAAGTTATATTCAATCCCAGATATTCGCATAAATTCTTTCAGAAAACTCTAATCTCTTCTTTATGCAAATATTTAATTATCTGGATGAATTTTATTCATTATTTTTAAAATTATATTTGAGTTCTTGAACACGCAAAACGAATTTACCAACCCGTTTCAGGAACCGAAAAAAGTAGTATTTACCGGTGTTTGCGTGTGAAAATTACATTTATATACGTTTTAAATCCTAAAATATTTAATGCAATTATAATATGGCTAAATTTTATTATATATTTTGGTCGTAGTTTCTATTATTTCTTTTTTTTTTCTTAAATTCTTTTAGACGTTTCTGGTATCCAGAATGGGTTTCCAATAACATCCGTCCAACCTCCGTTTATTTTTGGGACCGTCCTGCGCAGAAGAGATTTCTGTAGATATTAATGGCGCCGGAAAACATATAAAAAAGTGAGAATCTAAGTCTTTTGCACATTGCTCTTTCATTAGAAAGTTCAGATCAACATTGTAATCAACATGTCTCAATCGCACCGCGCTATCTTTTTGAGTTTTCTGGCTATTTTTATCACGATATCGCATCAGAACTCTATAAGAAACAGGCGAGACAAAGAAGAATGTCCAACTTGTGTTGGGAATAAACAAAGCAACGAAGAAATCAGTGAAGAAGAAGAGAAATTAATGAGGACCGCTCTAATCCAATTGCAAATCTTGAAGACATTAAAGCTCGAAGAACCACCAAAATTTAACGATAATATCTCGAACTATTTTCGAAATTTAATGAAAAATGTAAATCTAGAAAATGGTCAAGATGAATTTAAACAATATAGAAGTTTATCAGAGAGAAGGGTTTCAAAAGTTGAAACGAAGACTATCATCGTGTTTCCAGATGAAAGTGAGTATTGAACCATGTCCATTCTTTAAAACTATTTCTCTGTTTATATATCATAGAACCAGAAATTTGGGAAATTTTGCCTTAAGAAAAGTTTTATTTAAAGCATTTTTAATTTAAGAACCGTATATAAAAATATCTTTAAATAACTTCGATTTAATTTCTGTTTGTTTTCTGTCTAGAAAAATAACCTTTATCATATGTTCATATTTCTCACTATACGGAGATAAAAGCATTCTGAAATCTAGTGAAGGGTCAATGTCATCAACGCATATGTAACTAGTGTGAATAGGTACCATTAACCCCTTTTAGATGCAGCTGTAAGAGTCGTAATTAGAATAACATAAACAGTGTAGTGAAGAATCGACATTGTCATATGAATCTTAATGATAATATAATGACAAAGATCAGGCAAATATTTTGAAAGTGTCTAATTTCATTATAGAAATGCCACTGGGAGTATGCTGTTTGTTTGTTGACAATCTCATTTTGCTACTATAAAACGATATCAGGTACCATAACTAATCTTGGTACTTAGTTTACCGTGTTACTTTCTTATACCTCTTTCGTTTTTATTAAAAAACGTAAAGATTTAAAAGCATTAAAGTTTTTACTAACATTTTAAACCAGTTTTAAGTTTGCATAAGCTTTCTTATTCTTTTGCAACGTTAATCAAATTGCTAAACTAAAACATTTCAATATGGCGACTAGTGAATGGAGATTCTTGTAACAAGATTTGTTTGTAATAATAGAATTTCTTTAGTTATATATATATATTTATATATTACTAAAGAAATTATATATATATTATTTTAAATCAGCTACTTCATAGTTTTAATTCAAGAATTATTTCATTCAAGGTTAACTTTTGTTCGTTGTAACACGATAACTTTTTAAATACAAAAGGTGTGTGAACTGAACGGTCAAATTACATTTTAAAATATAATAATAATGATAATAATTCGATTTATTTAAAGATAATTAATTAAAATTTTAATTTCATTTTATTGATTTAACAGCATTTTTTCTTATAAGTTTATATAAATAATTATGAAAAAAAATATATGAAAAGTTTACATAATTCTGTTTAAATTTGAAACTTTTAAATATTAGATTATTAATTCATAAATAAATTATTGTTCAAAATGAAAGTTTAACATTTTTTATCATACAAAATTCAAAAAATAAAGAAAAAATATAGTACAAAGTTCAGAAAAATCTGCTTTTAAATCATTGTTTGATTATATAAATTTGCTGAATTTGTTTGTTTCTGTAAATATTTTATAACAAATTTAAATTATTTTTTTAACAACGTTCATTTTTCTAATTAATTGATATATTTAATATAAAATTCTTTTTTATTTTTTTTTATTTTTCAGTTAATGATAAATCATTTAGCAAATATCCAGCAGTCACCCTATACTTTAATTTCACTTCAAGGACACTTCCAAAAGGATCAGTTTCAGCACAATTATGGTTTTACAAAACTAAAACTGATAAAGAAGCTATACAGTTTGGTATAACTGAAGTTGTGGAATCAAGCAAAGCTACAATAGATTATGTATACAGCAAACATGATATTAAAGATTTTACAGATGCTAGAAGAGCAAAATGGATGAAAGCTGATGTTTTCTCCTATCTTCCAGAATGGTTTGAAAACCCCAACGACACTCACCGAATAGAAATCAGTTGTCAAAGTTGTTCCGATGGAACCAAACCTCCAATATCATTAATCAAAAAGAGGAAACCATTTCTTCTCTTTAAGATTAACGATACAACATCAGATAGAAACAAAAGAAGTACATCTTGCACGGGATCTAACTCTAATGGATGCTGTAAACAACCTCTCTTCATCAGCTTCTCGGAGATAGGTTGGGATGATTGGATCATCCAACCATCAGGTTACATGGCTAATTATTGTAAAGGATCGTGTTTAAACGAAATCGATCGATCAAGATACTATTATTCTACAGTCATCAGAGAATATATTACGAAACAAAAAGATAAAGCCGAAAAATTAAACTTAACTTTATGTTGTACACCTTCAAAGTTATCTTCCATATCTTTGATCTACAGGGAAAAGGATAACGTTATTCTGACTAAAAATCTTCCTGATATGGTCGTCGAAGAATGTGATTGTGCTTAAAAATACTGTAAAAATATAGAAAAAAAAAACAATTATAGATTGGACAATTGTGAACAAACTCTAAGTTCTGAACTATTTAGGAACCAGTAAACAGTTTTCAATAGAACTTTCTACTGTAAAAAAAAGAGCACTTTACCTATTAAACATGTTGTAAACTTTAGTAGAACTTCCATCCTAGAGAATAATGAAATAGACTCCAGATAAAACACTAAAATACAGAATAAATGTTTAAATATCTTTTATTTTATATAATGTATTATATACTTGTACATGAATTTCTATTTGGAAAAACAAATTCTATTTTCTAACTTATTAAAACAGACATTATATTAAAATTTTTGTAATTATTTATAAATCAATCATTCTAATCTTTAAATCAATTCTAATTAATTTAATATATAAATATACATATTTTTCTTTATAAAATCATTAGATATATTTAAATAAAATTGTATATTTCATATTAATAAAATTTTATTTAATAATTAGTTAACATTTTTTAAATAANAAATTTGCTAATATTTTACCAATAAAATATATTTTTAAACCATAAAAAAATTATAAAAAGAAAAGATTTTAAAAATCATTTTATTTATTTTTAAATTAATTTTTAATTAATAATTATTGATTGAAATATAACAAAAAAATAAATAAATAAATAAAATTATTTATAAAAAGAGAAGGAAGATGAGATAAAATTCTTGTAAGCTTAAGAATAATTATTATATAGAGTTTATTATGATTGAGAGCATGAGAAAGTCCTTGTTAGATAATAAAATGAAGGATTTAACAATTTAATAGAGCTTAATAAACATTATTTTTGTTTATAACTATTTATTTAGCACAATTTATATATTGTACATAAATAAACATCATTGTTTATTGATATATAATATTGATAACAAATTGTTAAATAAATTCTTTACCTCTTTTAATTCAGTTTAAAATTTGGATCATTCAATTATTTTATTAATAAATTTAATGAAAATTTTAAAAATTAAATAATTTTTCATTCAGCCTTTATTTAATTTTAATAAAATATAATTTATCAAGCATAATTGCTGTACAATTTTAATGTTAATATTATTATTTTGAATCATAATTAAACTTATTTAAATTTGCATATTCGGCTTCACTGCCTGACAACTTTAGTGTTATGAGGAGAAGTTCATAGTTCAACACAGGATCTTTATAAATATCTTTTGTAATAATTTTTAAATAATTTATTTCTAATGATTTTCCAAATGAATATAAAATTAAATTATAAGATTAATACTTAACTGTTTTTTATTATAAATTTATATATAAATATTAAAATCTCTTCAGATAAAAATTAAATGAAATAATTAGTTAAATAAAAGGTTGATGAACCTTTTACAAAGTGCATACTTAATAATACAGAATTAATTTTTTAAAAATTAGCTGAGTGCTCAAGTGTTTCCAGACTGTAATTGTGTTTAATTTAATCATTTAAAAAAAAATAGATATTAGAATAGTAAAACAAAGAAAACAAGAAGAATGGAGGATTAAATTATATGTATGAGAATATTCTATTATTGTAAATATTTTAAAAATATTAAATATATCACCATTACAAGGTGAACAGAAATAATATATTTAAAGTCATATTATTAATAGTTTAAAGTTTCAAGAGACATTTATGAATTGAACTTTTATTATTCATCCATCCAACCAATTAATAATTTAATTCGAATTTTATGAATAAATTATTCATTTTAAATTTATAAATAATTTTATTATATTTTAGTGTGAATTAATGAATATAAACTATTAATTCATCCATAATATCAATTAATTATTCTTATTTTTCATCTAGCAATTAGAGATTAGTCAGATGTAAACATTGATAGAATGATTATTCATTTTGAGAGGATAATATTAAATTATTCAATTCAATAATATAATTTAATGAAGAATATTATCAGATATTCTTCATTAATTTTTTATATCTATGCAAACAATTCCAAAGTTCTATAGAATTTTGGGGCCGTCCATTACTTATGTGTACAGGTTTACAATCACTTTCGACCTCTCCCTGTTGTGTACAGTGATTTACATATGTCAAACTCCCCCCTTTAATTACGTATACAATACATTACAGACCCCCAGACATTAAAGAAATGACTTTAAAAAAGCTCTGAAAATATTTCCCGAGAGTTTATTCACATAACTATTAAACAAGATTATAATAACAAATCTATACGCCATTAATATCACTCACGTAGATAATGCCTCGGCCCTCCTCCCTCCCCAATGCATACAATGATAGAGAAGATGCTTACTGTATATGAAATTAATGAACGGTCCAAAGAATTATACGAAATTACTTAAGAGAAAACGCGAAGATATAAAAGTTTAAATAGGATTTTAATGGTAACTAGTATAAATAAGTAAAAAAATTCCCATTAAAAATTGAGGAAAAAAAAAAGCATAAAGGTATCGGAGTAAGAGATAAAATAGAACTGAAAGCATTTAAATTAGTAGTAAAACATGTGCAACAAATCCAAGATGGCTGAAATGAAAAAAAAATTATGATTTTAACAATATTTTTCAACTATTTTAATTAGACAGAAACGAAATAAGAAAATAAAATTTGAAATATTTAAAAAATAAACTCTTGTACTTTTATTCGAATTTTACATCCAAAAAGAGTCTTAAATAATTTTTACCCTTCTTTTCCGTTTCAGAAAGTTTAGAAACATAGACGTCACCGTAGACGTCATACATTTTTGAATGATCCGGTGATTCGAAAAGCCAATCAGCATACAATAAATATTAAATGACATAAGATGAGGTACAGAAGAAAAAAAAAAGAAAAAATAATAAACTTGAATTTTAACAAGCTTTAATTAAAGCTTTTCTATATGTTAATATAGAATATTAACATATAGAAAAGAAATAATACAAATATACTTTCATATAGTTTTAAAATTTAATTTTGAAATTTCATAAATATGAAATATTTACATTACATTAAGAAATATGGGAAAACGAATAAAGCGCCAAAACGGTCGAATCTTTTTTAAAATTATTAAATATTTATTTATTTAATCGTTTAAATCATTCTTTCAATAAATTAATATATGTAAATATATTAAAATAATTTTTAAACATTTTATAATTATTACAGTTCAATTCTGAAAATCAATGAGAAATTGCGAGTTTAAACTGGAATCGATCTCGGATTCCTATTACATTAGAAACTCGATTATTCGAATCGGTTTTTTTAAAAGAAGAATAAAAAACAAGAACGTGTAGCATTGTATATATTAGAGAATATAATATAGTATATAAAAGTCCAAATTATATATTAAAATTACTACGTTATCTGTCGATTGTAGCGCCACGAAACTAGGTCACATGCGCTTAACGTTACATTAGACTTAGAGAAAAGTAATTTACTTTTAAACATGGTAATTTCATTGAAGTATTCACAGTTTATGAAACTTTAAATGTACGGTGAAAATACACAAAATCAAACGAGTTTCTGAATTATCCGAAAGGTCCCTGATACCATCAAGTTCACATACAGTAGATCACCCTATAAAAGCGTTTCCTATAGTTATGATTCCTATAAAAATTGTGGCATTATCCGTAAACAACGGTAAAAATAACTCCTATAATACGTAAAACGTCATCGGGCAGCCGAACTACTTACCCGCCGTCCGTAGCGCCACGCTACGGAGAGATTTCTATCGTCTGGACAGTATTATATAAATTATATATAAATTAGGTACTGTACATATAATTATATATTAATTATATATAAATTAGGTACTGTATATATAATTATATATTAACTTAATTTATTGTAACTTTATTATAATTAAATATATATTTTTCGCCGTCTAGCGTCACGCTACGGCGAGTTAGGCGACCTATCGTCTGTTTAGTACTGTAATTTTATACATTTCTTGTGAAAGAAACATTTCTTATTTAACGGCCATAAAAATTATTTATATTAATGATGTCTCCAAAGGTCAACGAAGTTTTCGCAGAAAAATAATATCAGAAATCG